GGGTCAGGCTTTGGCTAGCCAAAGGCTCCGGTTGTGGATTCCTCCAAAAGATTCACCTGCTTTGGCCTGGGTAACCTGGCGGTATTCAGTTCACATGCCAATCATGGAATGCTTTTCTTTTTAAAAAGGTTATTGTACTGCGAATGGTTTGGCGCACATTCTGGGTTCAGACGTGTGTTAAATATATAAATATAAACCGTTCCCCCTCCCAACTTAAATCCAAAGAAGTATCCCACTTCAAATCTAGTTATCATATAAGGAGCTCTTGTAAAGAAACTAAGGTGACCTCTAAGTGGCAATGGATTGTCCACCAAAACGAACTAAACACGAAATGACAACACAATTCATGCGAGCACGTACCGTAGGTGACGGATGTGTCCTTAGGAGGTCTAGTTCCCATAAACATGCACTCGCGGGGAGACAAAGTTCCGGATCATCCAAATCCGCCCGATAGGCACCACCTACCTCCGTTTCAGAGTCGAACAGGACCTCGCAACGAGGGAACAGATGTAACAAGTGAATCAGCAACACGAGCATCGCTCCAGCGCACGCAGAATCCGGCTGGCCGTGTGTGAGAAGATTGAAAAGGGAGGAAAATGCAAAAAGAAAAATAGTACATATTCTCAATCGGATTGGAATGATTTGTAGCGCTGCATTAGAACATTGTTGACATTTAGTCCTTTTGAATACACATCAGTGTGTGATGAGAAGCGGAAGCGGTAAACTCCACAGATAAGAACATTTACCGTTCACTAATCACCGTCAAAAACATAAGTCCTGGGATTGTGTTTCTATTTCATACACGTCTGAATCCAGACTGCGTGTTAAACAAATCATAGTAGAAAAATCTTTATAAAAAAGAAAAACGTTTCATGATTGGCTTGTGGGCAGATTACTACCAGGTTGCCCAGGACAAGAATAGTGAATTTTTTCAAGGAATTTTTCGAGGAATCCACAACCGTAGCCTTCGAGTAATCAAAGTCTGACCCGTAAGGCAGCGGGACGGTGTGTGAAAACCGTAATCCAATGGGGTTCGGTGTCCTTTGGACGGGGTCAAACGTAAAAAGTACCCAATACACCCCGATACCCAACGGTAAAACCAAGGAGTGGATGAATGTGGTTCGTACACCTCT